CATTTCATGTGGGAAGAGTGCAGAATAACTCACTGTATGAAGATAGTATGCCATATTTCTAAGGGAATGAGGAAACTACTCTAGCTAAAAAAAAAATTACAAATAACCAATTTAAATCCCTAGACATAGTTGTCAACTTAGCTACATGGAGTTCTTTGCTAACATGTATCTCTTTTCCCTTTAGAACATAGTTTCCAAAGACAACATCTAGAAATTAGGACATTTCATTTTTAAAATATCTTTAGGTAATCATTAGATGCCTTTTCTTTTGGTTGTCAATATTATTACTGCTTGTTGCCCGTGACGACTTCTATAATTTTCCTATAACAATGACAATTCTCTTGACTTCAGAAGTATTTATTTTTATGATAACTACATGCCTATAATGGCTTCTGACTTTCCTGGCTAATAAGTAGCAATGTCTCAGGGCATTTGTCTTTGAGAAAACTGAGTAAGTCCATAAAACTTCATGGGAAAGGAAATATCTGGGGAATCTTGCTCATCTTCCCAAAATCCAATTCTTATAGGTTCATTTGTGTTGAACAAATGCTTTCCTTGTGTCTCAATGTTTTTTTTGCATTTGTACTCTGTTCAAATGTATTAAGCAAACAAAAAAAAAATTACCTTCACAAAAAAAGGTTTTATATACTCAGAGGAGTATAAAATGTGTAAGTTGTATTCAAGAATTTAGTGTTCAGAAGGTACAAAAAAGTTAAATTTTAAAAATACCTTAAGAGTCAGTCAGTCAATAATCATTTAAGAACTTACTATGTGTCAGATATAGTATTAAGCATGGGCTTACAAAGATAGGCAAAAATTAGCTGCTACCTTTGAGGATGTTAGCTTCTAATGGGGAAGATAATTTTAACAGAAAAAAAACACATGATACGTACACTAACAGTGTTGGGACTGGGGGGCTGGGAAGAAAACTGGGAAACGTTTCTTCTAGAAAGCAGAATATGAGGTGAAGTGAGATAGGAAGAGTTAGATTCTGATTCTCAACATTTACAGCCATACAAAGTGAAAAAGAGATCCGAAAGTTACCTAGTTAATTTGGTCATTTCAGACAGTCAATCTAAACAATCCAATTTTTGTAACATTAGCAAAATCAAATGGCACATCAAAAAAAAAAAATCTTCACTTCATTTCCCCTAGTGTAAGCACAAGCTCTAAAATTCCTACAATGCTATAGTTATATACATATTTAACACTAAGTACCCAGCACTGATTCCCGCCCTTCTTTGAGTTACCTTTGCAGTTGGCAACTTGCATTACTTATGCACCGAAACATCATTGCAGTTATTTGTGTTTTTATTTCATTTTATTTTATTTTATTCAGCCCATCCTTTATGAACATATGAGAAGGGAAAAGACAGGCTTTTGCAAATGGGATTCTATCTCTGACCACATCTTCACAGAAATACAGATTACAAAAAGGAAACAGAGAACTTCAAAAGCCCACCTTTACTACTATTGTTTGTTGCCTTTAACTACTCATTTGATTCAATAAAGCAAAACACCATCTTAAAGTGTTTCTTCCATCTATGTTATGTTTATGAGAGGTTCTTTGGTAGAGAAAGTAATAGAATTGTTTGACAAGGCTCTGCTTATTATATCAAGCTAGGCATAAAAGAGGGAGAAATATCTCTGCCAAAGGTATTTGATACTATCATATAGAATGTCCAATTTTTGCTTAGTCATTTTCAGTCATTTCTGACTCTTTGTAACTCCATCTGGGGTTTTCAAGGCAGAGATACTAGAGTGGTTTGTTATTTCCTTCTCCAGCTCATTTTACAGATGAGGAACTGAGGCAAAAAGGGTTAAGTGACTTGCCCAGGCTGACACAGCTATTGCCTGTGGCTGGATTTGAAGTCAGGTTTTCTTGACACCAGCCCTGGCCACACAACTAGTAAGTGTGTGAGGCCGGATTTGAACTCAGAAAGATGAGTCGTCTTGACTCCAGGCCTGGAGCTCTATCCATTACACCACCTAACTGCCTCTAGAATGTCTAATATATAGTTCAAATGGAAGAGAAATTGCTTATACATAATGAAGTCCTGAAGCTCCTGTTTATAGATGGCATAGGGCTTCCTCAGTGGGAACCACAATCTTAAAAAAAGAGTTAAACCTATACAAGAAAATATAAGAAAAACCAAGCAGGTGAAGAATGTCTATCTGATTATGATATGTAGTCAGTTCTTCATTTTCTATATCTTAGATACTACAGATGAATAAGTATCTGAATAGAGAGACAGAGAAGGGCTAAATCGGATTTTGGGAAATTGATGCTATCAATTAATTATTGTTGTTTAATCATTTTTCAGTCATGCCCAACTTTTCATGACCTCACTTGGGGTTTCCTTGACATGGATACTGTAGTAGTCTCCCATTTCCTTCTCCAGCCCATTTTATAGATGAGAAATAGAGGCAAACAGCGTTAAGTGACTTAACCAGGCTCACACAGCTATTGCCTGTGGCTGGATTTGAACTCAGGTTTTCTTGACACCAGCCCTGGCACTCTATCTGCCACATCACCTGGCTGCCTCATCAATTAATTATATATTTGTAAATCACTCCAGGGTTGTCAATAATCCCATGCTTCTCTCTGAAACAAAAAATCATCAATAAACTTCTGGTGATACTAATATGGATCCAAATCATAAAGCGCTTAGCACAGTGCCTGGCACATTGTAGGTTCTATATAAATGCTTATTCCATTCCCTTTCTCCTTCCGCTTTCCCATCCTCCTTCTATCTGCAAAGAAGCGAAGCTTTAGTTCATTCAAGCACAATGGAAAGAAGCATAAATTTATTTATACTAACAATGCCAAACCACAATAAAAATTCAGCATAAAAGATACCATCAATAAACTATGGCCAGAAGAGTGATTCAGTTATGTACGAAGTGCAAAGTATAAGAGATGAGTAGTCTGTGTGCTACATTGGTACCCACAAAATACCAAGAGACCTAGAGGAAAGCTCTGAGCATTCTGGGTGGACTCTTGTGGAGGAGTTACATATAAGAGTTAAGAAGAATGAGAAAGTATTGATGAATTATGATCAGTATCATTGTAATGATAAACAGCTTTGAAAGACTTACGACTTTTGTTCAAGACAATAACCAACCATTATTTCAAAGGATTCAAGCTGAAATGTGCTACACATCTCCTGAGAGAGAGGTAATTAATGGTAATGGATTCAGGTTATGCATATGTTTATATGTATGTATATGTAATATGTATATATGTACATGTATGTGTGTATGTATCTATATAGATTTGTGATACATATATACACATAAATACACATATATGTATGTACATATATTATATCTGTGTATGTATATTTGGACACTGTCAACACAAGAATATGTTTTGCTTAACTATGAATACTGGTTATGTGGACTTTGTTTATTTTATTTATTTTTATCATTAGGAGGGATAAGAGGTAGAGGAAATGAATTCTCATTAACTGAAAAATTGAATTAAATTAAAAATAAACTATCTGGGGAAACAAGATTTATGAAAATTAGATTAAGGAGTTTTGCCTTTTACCAATAATAGCAATTGAAAGCCATAGAAGATTTCTGAGTAAAACAACAAAAACACTGTTTTTTGATGATTAATTTATTAGTAAGCAGTAATCATAGACATCACGACAGGTCAACCTTAGTGTTAAGAAGTCCTGGGTTTAAGTTTCAACTCTAACATGCTAACTGTTTAACTGAGGACAAACCACTTAATATCTTGGTGCCCCAGCCATCTTGTTAAAACTATATTACTCTCTGTTGCTGACCAATATGAGTGGGTGGAGTTTATATACCAGGAATTTTCCACACAAATAAAATCAAAGGTTTACCCTGACTCAACACTACCCTCCTCTCAAAAAAAAAAATGATAATGGCAGGGTCATACAGGATAAACTCAAATAGTGGAGACAGTAGAGGCCAGAAGACCGACCAAAGCACTTCAGCCAGGGTAGATGGCCCACCAAATTTTCCATAGCTATACATTGGGTTTGACTAAACAAGTTTTACAATTAAGAAGGCATCATTTACCACTTCCATTGTTCTGCTACATAGACTGCATCTGATTTCTGACCAAAAGGTATACTCCAAAACTAAACAGCAGTGCGTATTCTATTTGTGAAACTTTTAAAAGAGAATATACATTGATATTGAGTTTGGGAGTATCTTGGTCTTAATCTGCCCTGTGGTATAGATATGAATTTTGGACTTGCTTCCAAAATCTCCTTTAAAATCAATCACTAGAAATGTTCACATACAGACCATGAAAATAACGCATCTTTACTTAACTCACTTTGTCTTGGTTTTGGTTTTTGTTTGTTTGTTTGTTTGTTTTTCCCCTAGGTAAAGCAATATCAGCAGATTAGCAATATAATGCAACAAGTTTCTTGTACTGGGTGTATTATATACACCACACCTGCTAAATATCTCATTGCAATTATTAGCAAGAATAATAATGACTCCAATCACACTATTATCTTGTTGCTAGTCTGTAGATGACTTAAATTACAATAGTCTTGTTTAAAATGCATCACTAGGCCTCTAAATTCTATCTTTCTGTACTATGATTTATGGCAAATATATATAACCACATCATGACAATTGTAGCTTCAGTGTTCCCAGGGCATAAATTTTTCCCTGATAGTAATCATGTAGCTATTCAGGGATGTTAACTCTTTCAAGCTACTAGAGTACCATGTAGCATTATTGTTACATTTCATCTAGGAAGTAAATTAGACTCTGGGGAAAATAGAGTTCTCTATTCCATACATGATTCATAAGACCTTGAAAGTTTTGAATATTTTACTCTAGCAATAAATGCCTAACCCATAAATACTCAAAACAAGTGTTTAACTTTCTTTTTAATTAAAATGTCACATTATCCTTTCACTTAAAAAAAAGATTAGCTTTACAAAGTAACCCAGATGAAAATATTTCGACTCATCTGGATGTGAATATTCAAATTTTGTTCTTACCATTGTTGTTTCTTGTATAGAGCCAAAGCTGTTAATAAAAATATTGACCACCACATCAACTGGAATACCTACAAAGACAAAGGTAAAAAGAAGCACTCGTGTAAATAACATGATCAGAAAGATCTTTTGTTCTAAGTGACATGCGTTTAATTTTCATTATGGTTTTACAGAATCACTATAGTATAGTCTCAAAATATTTTCTTCATCATCAGCAATTAGTACTGACAATACACAGAATCTGCCTAATATAATTCAACAAGTATTGCATTCAGCCAGAAGAGAATTTGATTTGAATCCTTCCTCTCATCCATGCTAGCTAAATGACTATGGGTATGTCATCAACATCTCTTTTCCTCAGTTTCCTCACTTGAAAAATGAGGATACTAATCCCTACAGGATCTATGTCAAAGTGCTATTGTGAAAATCAAATGAGACAATATGTATAAATTTCTTTGTAAAGCTTAAAAATGTAAGAAAGGTTGACTACCTCATTGCCACCCGCCTCCACCCCCAAAACTTTTAGATAATACATATTGAAAATGAGCTGTATTTGTTACTGTGCAACAGTATTAATCACTGATATTACTATTTTCTACATAAGGATATATGTGTATACACACACACACACATATGTGTGTGTGCTTGTATATTTGTATGTGTATGTGTGTGTGTATATACACAAAGATGTCCAGGTTTTGCTTATTTTTTAAAATATGTTTCTAAAAAAATTCCTCCTATAAAGGTCATGGTATTCATATTTTTCATTAAAATGATTAGCAAAATGTGGCTTGATGATTTGCATATTACTACCAACATTTTCAATATGGGCATTTTAACCATATGAGGAAACTTACTTTAATGGGGAAAGAAGAAATGTCATTGTATTTGATGCTGATCATAAACCATTTTCTTTAAACTTTGACTAATTTTTTAAAAAGGAAATCAACTTACATGAAATTCACACTAAAGCTGTTCACCTCACTTTCAAGAAAGGAAAAAAAATAAGGTTGTTTACAGAAGGAGGACTTTTACAATAACGCTGCAGCCCCCTTTCTCTTTGCTTTGCTGACTTCTAGTGGATTGGGGAGGGAGTAATGCTAGAGGGGGGAGCAGAGCAAAGGGAAAATGTGCAGTTGGCCTTTTAACCATATAACCACCTACTGATGAAAAACAGGTGGTGAATGGGTTTATGGTGGACATGTGACAACCCAGGCCATGGCTGATGTTGAAAGTAACTGAATAGGCCCTGGTAATGAACAAAACCCCTTATTTTTACAACAGAGTTATGTAACTTTAGTTGACTCGAAGCAGCTGCAGACTGTTTTTCCTCTGTAAAGGATGAAAAAACCTTATGATGTTAATCTGATATATGTTCATACCTGTCCTTAACTGCACAACTGGGATTAATGTTTTTCAGGGGAGCCTTTTCATATATTTCATTTCTAAATCATCAGGAATAAGGTCTGCACAATCTGCTCATGACTTTAATTTTATTTTATGACAAGTATGGTTTTAGTTCTCATAAGGTGTAGGGATAAGATTTTCTTAGAAGAGAAACAAATCTTGATTGTAGGAAACTCATTTCATTTTAGCCACAAAGGTAGTACTTTTTTGATTAAGCAGCTAGAAAAGAGAAATGGGCTTTTGTTTTCCGCTGTGATTTACTGACTAACATGTAATTTCTATACAAATCAACATACGCTTCATTCCTTTTTCTTTATAATTCATACCTCGGTGCAGGCATCATAGTGGATAACTTTACTGGACTTGTAATTGTGAAGACCTTGTTTCCAAGCCTAACTATATTTATTAAGTTTGTGACCATGAGCAAGTGCTTTAACTTCTTTATCTATCGGGTAACTTTTGATCATCTCCAAATTCCCTTCTACTCTAAATTTGTCATCTTTAATCTAAGTCACAGAGGGGCTCTCATCTGTGTTGATAGAGGGAGTTCCTCACCTAGAGTTCCCCTGTATTTGTAAAAAGGAGTTCACACATCAGAGCAGTCATGATGTAAGGTGAATATTGATCTGCTATATAAAATGTGGTAACATTTTTATCCTCAGTTAATTTTTATATAAGTTGTAAAGGAGCCTAGTAGAATAATTATAATAATAGCTAGTACGTGTATATGTATGTGTCTCTGTGTGTGTCTGTGTGTGTAGTATTTTAAGATTGCAAATCATTTTTACAAATACCACAACAGTTGCTAGAATGATTGGGGGAAGCAATGAAGAAAAGTAAAAGCTAAGGGATTTTAAAAAATAGTACATGACAAACCCATTAACTATCATTTATCATCTTAAAGCAGATGGACAATATTAGTTATAGTCAAATTAGCATGCATTTAGTAATAATATAAGACCTTAATTATATTAGTACATTTTCATTCAAGGAATTAGATATGTATAAATTTAATACAGTCTGCTTAGCTTTTCTGTTTAAAACATTTTGGTGTTTTTCTTCCTCTCCTCCCCATAAAAGGTGAAATGCACTTTAAAAATTATCTTACATCTTAGCATGGTTGATTTTCATGCAGACTGCTTGCCACAGCAAATTCTCTGACAAATCATATTCTCTGAAATATAACTATGAGTTCAAAAAGTCTAATTTAACATGGTTAGCCTATAAACTATAGTAAATTATATTCCTCCAACACTAGAATTTTATTGAACTTTATTCCTAAATCTCATAAATATCCACTTACTATGGGAAAACACACACACACACACATACACACAAACACACACACACACACACACAAATTGGAGGGAATGATATGAGTACATGACTTGCCAATTCAAAATCATTCTGAAATTCTTTTTTTCCCCCATTCCTCCTTCCAACTGAGAAATCTTTTATACAGATTCTTATATTACACTTATAAGTGGATTTAATTCCTAAGGTTCAAAGGATGAAGATACCTTCATAAAGACAAACCTTTGAAATTTGGTCTGATCCTGGGATCATAACTGACTAATAGTCTGTTCAAGATATTGCTTGTGGAATTAGCTGGTACTCTGGCAAGGTCTTCAGCAGACTGCTCCCTATAAAATAAAAGAAAAGGAAGAATTTTGTGATTACTATTGAAATACCAAGCAATAGTAAATATTAACATTAAGGAATAGCTTTTTACCCATGCCAAAATGCTGATCTCAAGTTTTCTGCCCATAATCTGCAATCAATGTAGTGTTCCATTATATACTTACATGGAGAGTTAGATCTTGCCAAGAGGGTTTTAGGAGTTCATAATAAATGCATCATCTAAGCAAAGACTTGAACATTTTTTAATTTGGGGGCCATCTTCTATAAAAATCATCCAAAAGATATTTATAAACTACCTCCTATCCCACCTATTATGCACTATTACCCTAAACTTCTATAGATCAAATTAAACCAAAACATTCCTTCCCCTTAAAGAGACTGCAATCCTTAATCCGGAAAGGCCTAAAAGACAAGATAAACTCTTAGAAAGTATATGGATTAAACAGGTGACTTAAAAATATTTAGCATTAATACAACACAAGGTAAGCATAAGAGTCATCAAAGAATGGGTGCACAGAAGAAGGTATCAAAGATGGAAATAGAGCATAAAGAAGGTATAACTTAATAGTAATGATGTCTATGAATGTTTTTATTCCATGGAGCACCAAGTTCATTTCACTGTATTCACTACTAAATGGTAGTTTCGGGAAGAGGGGAATATACTGGTAAGAAAATATTTAGCAAAATAATTTCCTCTACTGGCAACAGTATCAAGAAGCTACAATTTTTATTGTCTTCATAGTATACGTAAGAATTCCTGTTATCTCTTAGCAGAGAAAGGCTGTTATATTTAAATATGGCCTTAGATACTTCCTAGATATGTGACCCTGAGCAAGGCACTTAGCATCTGTCTGCCTCAGTTTCTTCATCCAAAAAATGGTCATAATAACACCTTACTCCCAGAGTTATGAGGATAAAATGAGATACTACTTGCAAAGTAATTTGCAAACTTTACATTGAAATACAGGTGCTAGCTATTATCATTGTTATTTTCAAACTATTGACCTCTGATCTGACTTTAACTGAAAAAGTTACTTAAGAACAAATGAGACCCAAGAGACTATATAAGTCTATTGAAAATTCTTCCATAATAAGTTAAAAAGATATTACTCCCAGGCCTTGGGATAATGATTTGACAAAATCTGCTGGGAAAACTAGAAAGCATGGGGCAGCTAGGTGGCGCAATGGATAGAGTACTGGCCCTGAAGTCAGGAGGACCTGAGTTCAAATCCAGCCTCAGACCAAACATTTGACACATACTAGCTGTGTGACCTTGGTCAAGTCACTTAACCCCGATTGCCTCACTAAAACAAAACAAAACAAAAAAAACTAGAAAGCAGTCTGTCAGAATTTAGGATAAGACCAACATCCCATACTCTATACAACAAAAAGCTCTGAATAGAGATATGACAGATATAAAGGGTATCATCATAAACAAATTAGGCAAGCAAGTAAGAAGATTCCTTTCACAGTTATGAATAGCAGAAGAGTTCATCACCAAACAAGGGAGAGAGAGGAGTAGAGAAGATAAAACAAGCAAATTTGGTAACATAAAACTGAAAAGCTTCTATACAAATAAATTAAATTAAACGGTAATAGTTAACTGGGAAAAATATTTGTGGCAAGTTTCTCTGATAAAGAATCCATACCCAAGGTACATAAGGACCTGATTTAAATATATAAAAGCAAAAGCTATTCATCAATATATAAATGGGCAAAATAAATGAACAAGAAGTTCTCAAAGAAAAAAAGTACAAGTTATCAATACCTATATAAAAATGCTCCAAATCACTCATAATAAGATAAATCCAAATTAACACAACCATAGATTTCTATCTCAAACCTATGAGATTAGGAAAGATAATAAAAAAAGCAAAACATGTTTTCATTGTGGAGAGAGATGGGAAAAAAATTACTACAGATAGAACCGTGAATTCTGGAATTCTGGAAAGTAGCTACTTCTGGAAAGCCATAAACTATGCATGTCTTTTGACCCATCTATATTGCAAAGAGATCAAAGAAAGTAGAAAGGGATCTATACGAACAAAAATATTTACAGCAATTTTCTATTGCGGTTGCCAAAAAAACCTTGAAATTGAGAGTATCTGTTAATTAGATAATATCTGAACAAATTTTGGTATATGGATATTAAGGAATATTTTTATGCTATAAGAAATTACAAAATGGTTTTAGAGAAAGCTGGGAACACTATGAATTGACTCAGAGTTATGTGAGCAGAACTTGGGTAACAATTCATGCAATAACAACAATGTAAAGAAAAAAAATTGAAAGATTTAAAAACTCTGATAAACAGCTTGAGGGCTAATGATGAAACGTGCTGTCCACCTCCTGACAAAGAAGTGCTAAACTCAAGATTCAAAACAAAATATATATTTCTGGCCATAGACAATATGGAAATATATTTTGCTTAATTATACATAATTCTTACAAAAGCTAAGGGTTTTGTTTGTTTGTTTAATGTGTTGGAGGAATGTTGTTGGGAAAGACAATTAGCAAAATAGTTGTCAATAAACAAGAAAAAGAAAAAGGGATCATTGAAACATTTTTAATATACAGAAGAAATTTTTTTTAAAGTCCAGAATGAACCAAAGCCAAGAAGAACATCTTTAAAACTTACATGTTCAATTCATGACATACTTAAGAGGAAAAACAAACGGCATATAATAGATAGTCATAATTTCATGCACAATCTTTTGTTCCCGCATTGTACATTTTATGTGTGAGTGCTTAATTCCTATTTGATGTTTGCTAAGTTCAGGACCTCAGTGTAAAAAAGAACCAAAAACCAGACACATCATATAGGTGTCACAGAACAATGTTAAACAAAGTTTTTTTCCAGAAAAAAAAATTATCTTTATCAAGTACCATACATATTTTTTACATTTAGATAATACTCTGAAAATGACTAAATACTCTAGAAAAAACATCTAAACTGAACTTGCAACTTCTGGAAGTGGCCGCTTTAGTTCCATCTAGTGAAGCATTTCAAGACAGGTTTTATGTTGTGTGTAATATATAACATATAATAAATAAGGAATTCAGAAAGATAACATTAGTCCAATCCAACCCAATAAGCATTTATTAAATGCATAATATGTGCAAAGCAATGGGGATACAAAGACATAAATAGAACAATATCTGCCTCCAAGGAGCTTATATTCTACATGTTGGCAATATCTTGACCAATGTCTGAGTTGGATCTAAGTCACTCAAAAGAAGTGTCTTATACAATAAGAGTAAGGAATGGGAGAGGAAGGAGTAAGAGTGGATTTGAGTATTCAGGGTAGTATTCAAATTCTTTTATAATCTCTTAGTAACAACAGGAAAGAGGATCTCCCTGGTAAGTAAATAAATTTTGACTGTACCCGATTATAATCTTATTCAAATTAATGGCAGCCTACAAAGTACAAGGAATTATGCTAGGGTAAAACAGCTGGATGAGATTGCTGCCCTAGGAAAATCTACTAAGGAGATAATATGGATACAAGTAAATAGAATACAAATTAAGACAGGATAAGTATACATATGGTATAGTAGATAGAGCCAATCCTACAGTCAGGAAGACGAGAGTTCATATCTGGCATATGTTGGCTATTTGACCATGAGCAAGATACATAACCTCTGAATGACCCCACAGAACATTAAGTACAAACGAGTATCATGTAAAATAAATTAGCAATCTGCATCAGTGAGGGGAGTTTCCACACCAGGAGTCCCTTAAATTGACAAAATCATAGATTCAGACCAAGGTCTCTGTGCCACCACCTCTTCCCCTCTCAAAAAAAAATGTTAATGTTAACAAACACATTAATATGTTAATATTAACATGTTAATAAATGTTAACAAAATTGTTAATGTTTCTATTTTTAATTACATTTTAATTACATTTGGTTGTTTTTACAATGCCTGTTTCCTACTATATCCCTTCTATAGAGTTGTCTCTCATAACAAAGATTTTGAGAGAAAGAGGAAGGGAGGGAAGGAGTAAGGGAGGGAGAGAGAAACAGCAAACCCAATCAATACACTAAAAAAAAATCTTTCAATCTATTTCAATTCCAGTGAATTTATAGCCAAATGAATTAAGGAAATGCAGCTTTGGATAAATACTATGGTGTCAGCTGTGGCAGCCTTGCAAATGATTCTCAAAATCATTAGTTTGAGAAAATTTCAATTTGCTTTTCCTACTTTTGTCATTGTTGTCCTTTAGCTATTCCTATTTCCTTTAACTTCTCTCCAGAGCAAAAATCTATACACAAGAAAATGAACATCTGTTACCAGCAAACAAATGCAGAGTTCCTCTGTATATACCTGCCTCTATCAAAACTAAACCAAACAGAAAATTCTTTCTGATTCTCATTTGGTTTTAAGTATATGCTCTAGTGTTCATTTGAGATATATGATGACAGTATAACTGCTTCGAGTGTAGTTTCCCCTTAAATTACAAAAGTCAAAATTGATACAGTATTTAAATGTGTTATCTGTAACAACATTTCACACATATATTGCATGAAATTTGGGATTTTTCCAATAAAACATATCCAAATGCAATGTGTACTATATTCAGTGTTAGAAAACATCTAATATAACTGCCTACATAGTTATACACCGAAAACTTGAAAAGTCCGAATTCATATAAACAATTTCTTCTGAATAGCTTCAAAACATTTGCATACAATATGCTCTCCCATTTTCCTAAGATATACTTACAAAGGAGGGAAATTACAAATATCCTAATGGAAGCTGGGTTTATTGAGGGCATGTGACTGTTACTAATTGGTCAAACCAATGTTAAAGTCAAATCTATATCCCTCAGTTATGTGACTTATTTTGGAAACATAACTTCACTTATCAGGGTTTCAGTTTCCCTGAAAATAAAGAGGTGGAACTAGATTATTTTATATTATGTTATATTTTATATTATGCTATATTACATACTATATTATGTGAGGTCTTTTCAAGCCCTTACATTTGGGGATTCTTG